TTTTGTTCCATTGTGCTCTGTTTTATATTTGTAAATTATTTCTAATGTTACAATTTTATTATCCCTTTGGCCAAAGTCTAGTTGATTAGTCATGGTGTGCACATCTTTACTAATGGATAAATTTGGAGCCATTTCCAAAATTGAAACCTAAATGCACAAGAAATTACTCGAGGAGACTGAAACATTGTGACCATGATATAGATTTATATCTTAGATGTATCATATAGAAAATATAAAGTTGTATTTCAAACATAACCTATATCTAATAGTTATAAGAGGGTCGAACTTTGAACCTGCACAGAACTATTATTAGGAGAGGCGGCCATATTAAATCATTTGTTCAAATGCACACCAAAAAATAACAAAATTTTCTAGTATCTCTTATAATTAATGATATATAACACAAAATATATACACTATCTCGTCAGAGCTATACCATTATCGTCTCCATGTATTATTAGCTCAGTACCGTTGTCATTCTCATAATAGTTAGATGCATAACCCGAAAAAAAAAATTTAAACAACTTCTCAAAATGGGTGAGTGATTTTAGGAATAAATAGAGAGAAAGGGAGAGGACGGTGTCCCCCACAAGTCCTATCATGGTAGTGAAAGGAAAGGCCTAAAAACAGGTATGCATCCACCTCATGCACTTTGTTGGATTGTCGCCTGTAAAAAGGAGCAGAAAAATCTTTGGTACCAAGATTGTATATCTGCAGATTGTTGGAAAATCATTGGTTCCAACCTCAGCCAGCGCCATGTCTCCTGCTCGAAAACCCTAAAATCTCTTAACCCCAAAGAAAGAACAGGAAAATCGATAACATGCTCGAGATATATGAACAACTAGAAAAGATCGTGAACATCAAGTATAGCATACAAAAAATTCGACGAGATATATCATTATAAGTAAAAAATATTTGAGCTACGAAGAATTGTTACATCTACATTATTAACTTTAACCTAACATAAAGAAAGTATATTATAAGTGAACGCCAGGGCTCTGCACAGGAAAAAGGAAGAAAAGTTCAGAGAGCTGCGGCGCCTAAGTTCTGGCCTCTTAGGCCAAAATTCACTTTCTGCTGGTTTGTGCTGTAGGTGTCGTGGTGCATTTTTGGGTGTCCCGGTGATGTTCTCTCTTCGATATTTGGGCTCCAATCAATGTTGTAATATATTCTTTACTTGCTCAGGCTATGATTTCAATCTCAACTTGATCAATTTATGTCTCGTCTCCTCATGATTATTCATTCATACATACAAAATATATAGCTTATGTGCATAACAAAAACTAACAAATAATTTCAATATAAACCTATGAAATGTAGCTTACATAATGCGCTATCAGATAACGCAGATGGGAGCGGAAATAGAACAACCCTCGTCTCGAAGTGCAGACATCTCACGTGAAGTGATGCGGGTTTGAAAAGGGATGGAAAAGAAGCTTGCATTTAGAAATAAATTCAAATTTGTGAAGGAAAGAAAGAGAGGGGCCTATTGGGTGTACTTCAAATGTCCGAATAATATAGGATGGTACCCTTAGAAAGCATAAGAAGTAGGGAAATGAATTTGATCACAATCTCTCTCACTCTCCCTCTCCCTCTAACTTTTTTTGGTTTAGAGAGAGAAACTAATTAAAAGGCTAAGTGGGCCTAGTAATGATGGGCCAGGCCCAGGGAGCAGCCCACTCAAATAATTTTAGTCCTCACTGCAAAAATTCTAATCAATGGAGGGAATGATGGATTTGACACCATCATGAGAGTGGCAGGGGACGAAATTGCTTGCTTGTCTCCTCCCTCTTCTAATTTTGCCTATCTTTTTTTAACTACATATATTAGATATATTTTTTGAAGTGACCTAAATTCGTGCAATAATTTAAAAAGTTTGATGAAAAAATTGCTTAATTTTCAAGTTCGATAAAGTATTGACTATTGTAATAGTCGAATGTAGTAGTACAATAGTAGTTAAGTGATAAGACAATTATAATTGTGGGACATGAAGATAGGGGGAAGAACAAGTTATATAAATTCGTTTTTAATGTAGATATTACGGACTTACAAAAGGAAAATCATAAGAGAATAGTTGATAAAATAAAATAAAAGTGCACGAAATGTGACAAATCAACCTTAACTCAAAAAATTCAGATGCGTGTACTACGTTTTAGATACAGTCTATCTATATCACCGAAAACATATCATGTCATTCCTTAGAACTCCGCAACTTTAGCGTTTCAACCACACGACATTCTTCAGTTTTTTAGTCGGGTGATGCCATGTGAATTTAGAAGAAGTAACATTGGGGGAGAATTAGGGTTTCGAATACTTCATTTACCAATACAAAATTTAATAGTAAAATATAAGCAAAACACTAATCACTTTGATAAGATAATCCAATTTTACTTGAATCAAGAAACAATTATCAAATAAAACCTAGTTTTCATTTAAAATAAAAAATCCAATTCCATTCCAGCGACTATATTAAATAATATCTCAGGTGCTATAGCTTAAGGGTAACCTGAGGTTCATTATTAAATAATATTTCACGTGTTAATATAAATACAGCTCAGTGATAATTGACACTTACTCATTTTCTTAAAATTGAGGTTT